TATCTGAAAGTCAAATAGAAGCGTCTAATAGTGCGCTTACAGGGTAGTTGTAAACATTCTAATTTTCTGGGTGCTAAACTTCTAAATAGTACATTTTGGGCTCCATATCTGAGAGTCAAATAGAAGCATCTAATAGTGCGCTTACAGCGTAGTTGTAAACATTCTAATTTTCTGGGTGAAACTGCTAAATAGTACATTTTTGGGCCTTCCCTTTATATCTGAGAGTCAAATAGAAGCGTCTAATAGTGCGCTTACAGCGCAGTTGTAAAAATTCTTATTTTCTGGGTGCTAAACTGCTAAATAGTACATTTTGGGCGTGCTCTTCATATCTGACCGTTAAATAGAAGCGTCTAATAGTGCGCTTACAGCGCAGTTGTAAAAATTCTTATTTTCTGGGTGCTAATCTGCTAAATAGTAAGTTTTGGGCGTGCTCTTCATATCTGAGAGTCAAATAGAAGTGTCTAATAGTGCTCTTGCAGCGTAGTTGTAAACATTCTAATTGATTTGCTGCTAATCTGCTAAATAGTGCATTTTGGGGCCTGCTCTTCATATCTGAGAGTCAAATAGAAGCGTCTAATAGTGCGCTTACAGCGCAGTTGTAAACATTCTAATTGTTTTGCTGCAAATCTGCTAAATAGTACATTTTGGGGCCTGCTCTTCAAATCTGAAAGTCAAATAGAAGCATCTAATAGTGCGCGTACAGCGCAGTTGTAAAAATTCAAATTGTTTTGCTGCTAATCTGCTAAATAGTACATTTTGGGGCCTGCCCTTCGTATCTGAGAGTCAAATAGAAGCGTCTAATAGTGCGCTTACAGCGCAGTTGTAAAAATTCCTATTTTCTGGGTGCTAAACTGCTAAATAGTACATTTCTCTTCATATCTGAGAGTCAAATAGACGCGTCTAATAGTGCGCTTACAGCGCAGTTGTAAAAATTCTAATTGTTTTGCTGCTAAACTGCTAAATAGTACATTTTGGGTCCTCCTGTTCATATCTGAGAGTCAAATAGAAGCATCTAATAGTGCGCTTACAGCGCAGTTGTAAAAATTTGAATAGTTTTGCTGCTAAACTGCTAACTAGTACATTTTGAGGCCTCATCTTCATATCTGAGAGTCAAATAGAAGTGTCTAATAGTTCGCTTACAGCGCAGTTGTAAACATTCTTATTTTCTGGGTGCTAATCTGCTAAATAGTAAATTGTGGGCGTGCTCTTCATATCTGAAAGTCAAATAAAAGCGTCTAATAGTGCGCTTACAGGGTAGTTGTAAACATTCAAATTTTCTGGGTGCTAAACTTCTAAATAGTACATTTTGGGCTCTTCATATCTGAGAGTCAAATAGAAGCATCTAATAGTGCGCTTACAGCGCAGTTGTAAACATTCTAATTTTCTGGGTGAAACTGCTAAATAGTAAATTTTTGGGCCTTCCCTTTATATCTGAGAGTCAAATAGAAGCGTCTAATAGTGCGCTTACAGCGCAGTTGAAAAAATTCTAATTGTTTTGCTGCTAAACTGCTAAATAGTACATTTTGGGGCATGCTCTTCATATCTGAGAATCAAATAAATGCGTCAAATAGTGCGCTTACAGCGCAGTTGTAAAAATTCTTATTTTCTGGGTGCTAAACTGCTAAGTAGTACATTTTGGGCGTGCTCTTCATATCTGACCATTAAATAGAAGCGTCTAATAGTGCGCCTACAGCGCAGTTGTAAAAATTCTTATTTTCTGGGTGCTAATCTGCTAAATAGTACGTTTTGGGCGTGCTCTTCATATCTGAGAGTCAAATAGAAGCGTCTAATAGTGCGCTTACAGCGCAGTTGTAAAAATTCTTATTTTTTGGGTGCTAATCTGCTAAATAGTACATTTTGGCCGTGCTCTTCATATCTGAGAGTCAAATACCCTCACAAGTCAAACTGAAAGGTCAGTTTATAGGGAAAACTACCTGGATACAATTCTAAAACAATTTCCATATGTCCTTTGCAGACTTTACATGCTGGAAAAAACACAGGTGCCAACTGCTGTGTCTTTCTGCAGTGTGCAGTCCGGCAATGGGGGCAGTTATCCAAGTAATGTAGTAGCCTACATCAACCATCAGGGAGGTACCAGGGGTCGCAGGATGATGGTGTTTATTCCCACAGTTATCCAAGTAAAAGGTGGAGCAATAAAAGGAACCATGACAGATTTAACAAGCCATTTGCAGTTTCGCAGTCCTGTGACCGCGACCCAGACACTGTCTAGGCGGCGGTCGGACAACCGGGACCCAGTATGTCTGATGTTGAAGTTAGGAGTCACAGTGTGGAATGGATTAGCAGGGTCTGGTGCATGGTAACCACACGGCCTCTGATGTTGTGCACCAGTGTATGTGCGGCCACATACCAGGACCCTGATGCAGCTTCAGTAAAAAGAGTACTGGATACCAGAAGCCATCACCAGACTGATCCGCAACTTGGAACAGGATGTGACATTCACTGTAGTGGCTGTGTGCGCTTTCAGCGTTCTTACCCTGCTGCTGCTCGCCTGTCTGTGCTGCAGCATAACTTCGGCCTTCTCGCTCCCTGCCTCATGAGACTGTGCGAGCAACAGCAGGCGATAGTGGAGTTTCAGCTGCAGCACGCATGGGTCAGTTGCTCTGCACCAGATTTACCCTCCAATTGATCAGAATTAAAGGATTTCAAGTGGACTCATTACAATTAGAGGACCTCTAAAGAGTCCTGTATTGTTATTTGTCGTCACTACCTCCCCGCGTCGGGAGTGGGTCATTTGCGCGCCTGCTGCCTTCCTTGCATGTGGTAGCTATTTGTCAGGGTCCCTATATGGAATCGAACCCTGATTCCCCGTTACCAGTGGTCACCATGGTAGGCGCAGTAAATGGCATCGAAAGTTAATATGGATTGACATACGAATGCGTCGTCGCATTATCGTTGGGGAGCACATTGAAAAAGTGCTCTAGCATGACGAGCTGGGTGATCTCCTCTGGGAACTTGGCTTGATGGGAGTTGAGCCAGTTTTGGGTGGCCCTTGTGATGCCACGGTGTATACCCAGATATATCAGAGCTGCTGCAGAAAGTGCGGGCCGTCTGTGCGCGCCTTTGGCATTCTCATCCTGCTGCTGCTTGCCTGTCTGCGCTGCAGTGTAACTTCGGCCAACCCGCTCACCGCCTAATGAGACTGTGCGAACAGCAGCAGGCGATAGTAGAGTTTCAGATGCAGCACGCACGGGTCAGTCGCTCTGCGGAACAGTTTTCTTTTTTTATAAGTCCCAATATTTTGGGGGCTACCCCAATTGAAAAAACATATATATATATATATATATATATATATATATAAAAAACAGTGTTGGCTACCTCATCCTCCTCCACCGCTGCTTCCACCTACACTGCCACGGTCACCGCTTCTGCAACCTATGGTCGCTTAATATAAACTATGTACACAATAGCAGAGGCTTGTGAAGGCCTTTTCTCCATGCATCAGGAGTTGAGCATTTCTCCATGCATCAGGACTGCAAGAAATGCACCGCAGGCCATAAATGTTTCTTTTTTTCTATGTCCCAATATTTTGGGGGCTACCCCAATTAAAAGATATATATATATATATATATATATATATAAATATAAAAAAACAGTGTTGGCTACCTCCTCCTCCTCCACCGCCGCTTCCACCTACACCACCACGGTCACCGCCTCCTCAACCTATAGGTCACTTAGTATAAACTATGTACACAATAGCAGAGGCATGTGAAGGCCTTTTCTCCATGCATCAGGAGTTGAGCTCAGTTTGAACAATGAAAGAGAATACCCTGCACTCCAACCCTCTCTAAAATGGATAATTCTGATGATCCTCCCGACAGCCATGCTTTAGATTTTGATTTATGTTCTTCCAAAGCTAAATTTAAAGATTCCATCTAGTGCTATTTTATGGCTCAGCTGTATTTTTAATTTGTATGTTATTTTAAGTGATTTCCCTATCCACATTTGTTTGCAGGGCACTTGTCCTACTCTTACCCCCATTTTACTTCCTTTTGCAGCCCACTAGCCCTTTCTAGGACTTTTTAGAGGCATTTTTGTGCCCACAAGTTCGGGTCCCCATTGACTTCAATGGTGTTTGGGTTCAGGGTCAAGTTCAGGGTCAAGTTCGAGCCCAAACCCGGACTTTTTTTCAACGTTCAGCTGAACCCGCTGGATCTGAACATCCAGGTGTCCGCTCAACTCTACTCTCCAGGTCTTCACTTCTTCACTGAAAAAGAAGGGGTCATAGTATCAGTGCCAGAGTCAGAAAGGACTCACGACTTCTGTTCTCACCTGTTTCTGACCAAAAAGTCCTCAGGAGGGTGGAGACCCATTCTAAATTTACACAGACTGAATCGATGTTTAGATATCTGCAAGTTCAAGATGGAGTCCCTTCAATCTATCGTGAAGGCTGTCTTTCCCAATCAGTGGATGTTGTAAATAGACTTATTGGATGCCTATTTCCACAACCATATAGTCCTGACCCATCAGAAATAATAAGGTTCGCAGTGTGAGAGGCTCATTTTCAATTCAGAGCCTTGTCCTTTGGTCTCAGCACGGCTCCAAATACTTGTGGTTCTCATTGCAGAGCTGAGAAAACAGGGCATATCCATCTTCCATTATCTGGACGACATCCTGATTGTGGCAGACAACAAGGATACTTTGTCCTCCCACGCGACCATTTGCCTTCAGTTCCTGCAATGTCATGGCTGGAGGATCAATGTCAAAAAGAGCCATCTCTGCCTGAGTCAGTCCATGACATACTGGGGTGCTCTGTTCAACACTTCCGCAGGGACGGTTCAACTCTCCCAAGAGAGGATCCTGAGAATACAGAAACAGGTTTTGGAGATGTTGGCATCCAAGTTGACTTCGACAATGAAGGCTATGAGTAGTGATGTCCCGAATGGTTCGCCGAACGGTTCGCCACGGATGGCGAACATATGCGCTGTTCGGTCCGCCCCCTATGTCATCATTGAATAAACTTTGACCCTGTACCTCACAGTCAGCAGACACATTCCAGCCAATCAGCAGCAGACCCTCCCTCCCAGACCCTCCCACCTCCTGGACAGCATCCATTTTACATTCATTGTGAAGCTGCATTCTTAGTGAGCTGTCCAGGAGGTGAGAGGGAGGGTCTGCTGCTGATTGGCTGGAATGTGTCTGCTGACTGTGAGGTACAGGGTCAAAGTTTACTCAATGATGACGAATAGGGGGCGGACAGAACAGCGCATATGTTCGCCGTCCACGACAAACCGTTCGGCGAACCGTTCGGGACATCACTAGCTATGAGTCTTCAAGGTTCCATGTCATCCACGATAGGACTAACAAGGTGGGCACAATGGAGAATCAGGAGCTTTTAAGCAAATTTCCTCCTCCAATTCTCTTCGAAGAGTCTGGTCCAGCCCATCAAGATTCCGATGTCAGTTCACAATTCCTTGATTTGGTGGCTGAATGGAGTCTCCTTAGCCAAGAGCTTCCCTCTAGGAGACGCTTCATGGATAGTGATAACGACGGATGCCAGCCATTGGGGATAGGAAGCCCATTGTCAACGCAACTTCGCACAGGAGGAGTGGAAGTTCCGAACAGACAACTTGCTTTCCAATCTCCTGGAACTCTTTGCAGTTCTCGAAGCCCTGAAACATTTCTCTTCGCTAATACATCACCGTTGGATGAAAATATGGTCAGACAACGCTGCGGTAGTAGCCTGCATCAACCATCAGGGAGGTACCAGGGGTCGCAGGATGATGGTGTTTATTCATCAATTGATTTCATGGTCTCAAAGACACCTGGCAGGCCTCACAGCAATCCATCTTCCGGCCTCACAGAATCAGATTGCGGATTTCCTCAGCAGATCCAGAATAGATCCGGGAGTGTGGTTTTTGTTTGACAATGTGTTCCAAATGTTAGTGAACAGCCTTCCTCAAGTGGATTTGTTAGCAACATGAAAGAACAGGAAGGTGGAGTGTTTCTTCACAAAGGACGACGATCCTCTAGCCATGGGGAGGGATGCCCTTTCCAGCAATTGGCGATTCTGAGAGGGGTATGCATTTACTCCTTTTCCCCTGATTATTCCCATTCTCAGGAGGATGAGGATGGAACATGACTCCCTCATACTTATAGCCCCCTTTTGGCCTCGCAGACTTTCGTTTCCTCTCCTACAGAGCCTTTGCGAAGAGCCGCCTTGGATGTCAAGGTCCCGTTCTCCACTTGGATCTGTCCTCCCTCAACCTGATGGCATGGAGGTTGAAAAGGAAAGGCTGTTGAATAAGGGCTTCTCTCAAGCGGTGGTAGACACTCTGCTCAGGGCAAGAAAGCAATCCACTTCTAATGCATACTATAGAATCTGGGACATTTTCTCTTCCTGGGCTTCCTCGAAAGATGTCTCAATCCAGAGTCCTTTCACAGAGTATATCTCAGACTTTCTTCAATCCAGCCTCGCGAAAGGTCTGAGGTACAACACCTTGAAGGTTCACATATCTGCCTTGTCAGCTTTAATTAACCACAAATGGGCCTTTGATTCGGACGTGGCCAGGTTCCTTAAAGCTGTGCTGAAGATCAGACCTCCGATTAAGCCGTTCGCTCCACCTTGGGACTTGCCTCTGGTTCTCAAAGCACTAAAGTCTCACCCCTTTGAACCTTTGGACTCAGTGTCTTTCCATTTTCTCTCCATTAAAACTGCTAAGGAGCCCTTCATGGTTTTCTATAAGGACAGGGTCGTTCTTCTTACTATCCCAGAATTTTGGCCTAAGGTCACCTCCGCCTTTCATATTAATGAGGAAATTATTCTCCCAGCTCTGCGTCCGGTTCCACAAGTAGATGGAGAAGACAGAGATCTTTCCTCCTTGGATTTGGTGAGATGCCACGGAATCTATGTTGACAGAACCGCCCCTTGGCTTTCATTTCCGGGCCTCTTTGTCCTTTATAATGGATGTAGAAAAGGCAGTCAAATCTACCATTAGCAGATGGATTGTATCAGCCATCATCCAAGCTTATCAGGCCTCGAAAGCGCCAGTCTTGAATGGGCTCAAAGCCCATTCCACGAGATCCCTTTCCTCCTCTTGGGCCTCCTCTGCCAATGTCTCTCCTGAACTGATTTGTAGAGCTGCCACTTGGTCCTCAGCCAATACTTTCATCAGACATTACAGAGTGGATGTCAGAGCCGGTCATGCGGAAAAATTTGCTAAAAGTGTCTGTTAAGACACCTCCAGTGTCTTTAGGCAAAACCGCCGTTTAGTAGACCTTCCCCGTCTGCAATAACAGTAACTCAGTTTGCCTAACCTGTAGTGCACGAACCAAATGCAGGGGAAGCGGCAATCTTCCGACTGGGATCTATGAACGGCTCCAAACTCCCGAACGGCAATACACGAACTGCTGCTAGCCGCCGAACAACAATATCCACCAAGCGGCTTTCGTTTCCATCCAGCAGTCTCTAAACGTGAAGAAGAAATCCCCCCAATAACGAGACAGAAGCTCTGCATTGAGGGTCAAACAGGATCTGGCTTTACTGTGGGCTATCTGCCCGTATTTATGCAGGTCTCCCACTTGGTGGACACTCCCCTAGGGGACCAAATGGGAGACTTAAATGACAGACAGATATGGGGACATTCCAGACACACAGTCACAGATTTTACCCACAGTGCATTATGATTCCCTCCCCTCTGCCCTGGTGATAATTACCAAGTAACTCAATTATCTCCCGGGCAGAGCCAGTCGCCATTTTAAATATAAAATCATAAAAGACATAAAAATGCATAACTTTAAAATAACCGAACATTTCCCATTCGTATCACATATCCCCAGATAGCCTGGATCTGAGTGCATATTATTAGCGAATAGCGCTCAGATCCCACACACATAGTTCAATCGCCATGGAGTCAAAGTTCTTACAGTCTTTCGGTATACGAATGACTCCATGGGAAGGCTATCTGGGTTAAGTCTTTTCGTATGCTCCAAACCTCCCGAACGGCCGGTATTCGTATGCTTTCGTGGAGACAGCCAGGCGTTCCGTTGTTTCAGCGGTGTTCGGCAGAAAAAGTGTCCGTTTTTAGTTACATAGAAATAGAGCCAAACACCGCTGGGCTTTCGCGTGGTTTAAAATGGCCGCTGCCTCGTGGTCGACATACGAACGACGACCACCCTGAATTCGGTTTAATGGAGAAGTGTCTGCGGTTAACCACAACGTTCTAATTGGGATCAATAGGTTAACCAGCAGCACACTTCTCTCTTGGGTGGCCGTCCGTTCGGCAGGTTTGTTCGGGAAAAACAGTCATTCGAATGGCTGGGCTATAGAAAACAGCCATTCATACAAACAGGATAAAACAGACGAATACACCCCAAAGACAAGCAGACAGATGGTTCTGTCACAGTGTCCTTTCTGTATGAAACCCTTGATTCCTGAAGTTTTGGTGTTTGTCACTTGGTTTGTGGAACCAATACACTTTGCATATAATATTTTGGAGTCTGTGGTTTCTGTATTTCTTCTTCCCTCCCTTGGTTATTGTTTTGGTATTACCCATTGTTGTGCTGCCATGGATATGTCCAGGAAAAGGGAAAATGTATACATACTTACTGTAATTTTCTTTTACAGGGATATTGCTTGTGACAAGAGGGAGGAGGGGATAGGAAGTGGTACTTATACATTTATTTTAATTAGCTCCTGTCCAATTAGGGATAGGGAGGAACTACCCATTGTTGTGCTGCCATGGTATATGACCAGGAAAAGAAAATTATGGTAAGTATGGATACATTTTCCCTTATTGTTTGCCAAGCAACACTACAATACAATAGAAGGATACATTGTTCAAAAGTAAAAAAAAAAAATGAATCCCACATTGCCATTCACATACCACTTTTCATTAAATCACTTAAAGGAACAATTTAGCAATTTATGTCTTAGTATAAAATAGTAAAATAGTATTTTTGAGATCTCTTTTAACAAACACGTGCTGATTTTAAGCTTTAAGTAAAAATTTTGTGCCAATTTAGAGAAAAATCCCAATTTGTATTTATTTTTTGAAATTTGTAATTTTTATTTTGACTCAATCACGGTGCATCAACAATTTAACAAGGACAAATAATCCAGTTGTAAGTACAGAGAAATTACAGCATTTCTATATGCAATCTGTTGGACAGTAGACATTCTATAGGTCCACACCATGCAAATGAGGATAAATTGTGCCCATAAATGCCTCTTTGTTTATAACTCGTATGGACATTTTGCCTACTGGCTTCCTGAGTCTAATTTTCCAAACTTGGGAGGGGAGGGGGGAAATCCCAATAAACTAATCTAATGAATCATAATAAACAAACAAGCGCACGCACGCACACACATTTCCTTGTCACAATAATAATATTTACTATCCAGCTTCCCTAAATAACCAATCCGTTTTCTAATTAACCATCTACCTACCTGGAGAAAGGTAAGTGCTGAAGGGGTTTTAACCCCTTCAGCCCAGCGGGAGAGGGCCACAAGGGTGGGGGGTACGTAAGGACTATATAGTGCCAGGAAAACAAGTTTGTTTTCCTGGCACTTTAGTGGTCCTTTAATGACAAACATTCAGATATACATACAGACAAACAGATACCCAGGCAGACAAAGAGATACACACACAGACCCACAAGGCACACACACACACATGCAGACACACACAAAGATACACATACATACACACACACACACATACAGACACACACTCATAGTGACAGACCCACATACACACTCACTGACAAACACATATACACGCTCACTAACAAACACACACACACTCACTAACAGACAAGCATACACACATACACAATCACTAAAAGACACACACACTCTCACGAACAGACGCATACGCACTAGCTAACAGACACACACATTTACTGTCAGACACACACTCAGTGACAGACAGACATACTCACTCACTCACTGACAGACAGACACACATACACACTCACAAAACATACACTCTCACTGACAAACACACACTCACTAACAGACAACAAACAGACTCACTAACAGACACACACTCAATAACAGACACACACAAACTAACACACAACTTACACATTCAGTAACAGACACACACAGTAACACACTCACTGACACACACACACACACACACACTCACTGACACTCACTAGCAGACACACACTCAATAACAGACACACACTAACAGACACAC